TTAGTGGTACAATACTCTATTTGGCAGTGCTAGTCGATAAGAACCGGTGGCGATGACTCACGTAAGGTAATTAGCTGTTTTACAAAGCGTCTGTACGAACATGTCCATAAGTGTTTGTGTCTCTTCTCGATGAAGCCGTGGCTGTTTGTGAAAATGATGATAACAGGTTGACTGTTCGCTATGCAGTGCCTAGGCCACCATTGTACTTGCAATTGGTTCAAGGAACTCCTCTCAGAAATATCATTATTGTTATGTTTTGTTATTATCGATAGAAATACATATAATTAACGCAGCTATACTTCATGAAGCGTGCAAGAAGCAACGAGGCTGAATGAGAGATCATAGTGGAACAAAGTCGATGATAGATCTGATTTTTTCTCATCACGTACAGGAATAGGCTTAAAAACCGTTCATTCCTATCCGAAACGACAGCATTTGTGGAACTAAATAAGACATAGCGAAATAAATAAGACTGCGTAGCTAAGTAACTAAGTTCAAATGACTGTTGAAAACCATTCAGTTTACAAAATGCAGACCCTTTACTTGTTTCCAAAAAACAGAGAAAGAGACTTACGTTGCACTCATTTTAAATCTATTAGTTAAACAGAATTTTGCTGTACTTTGCGACGTCAAGCGCAACGATCACGGTCTCACTGCCGGAGCAAACAATGGCTACAAGAGAAGTTAAAATTTGCAGGACAAACACAATAACATCATGTTTAATGTATGTTTAATGTTCATATTCTACTGTTGTCGATCTGTGGAACGTTAAAAAGGACAGAATTGACCGTGGTTGTTTTTATACATTTGTACTCGACTACGACAAAATTAGAAATCTCTACTAGATATCAGTCTACGAACATATCCGATAATGTTTAACCATTCCAACAATAATACAATATGACGATTTTTGTATCATTTTCGTCTCTACTACATATCTACATCGGTCATCACAGGGTGAAGGCATTAGCGATTCATACGTCTCCACATAATAGCTCGTTTTATGAAGACGTTGTTTAGGCTAAATTTCCTCTTTACGTTAGAACCTCAATATAGTGATAATAGTAATAAAAATAACAACAAGTATAGTCGTCGATTCCATTTTACGAGTGGGACTGTTATTCATTACTATCGTCGACACAACGTCTGTTAATACCAATGGCCATTTCACCTTCACACTTTCTCTAGTCTACCTTATTGTCGTCATTATAAATATTATAATATTATCATTTCATTACTTAGAATAATATATTATGTACGAGTCCGCGTGCCTGAATCAAACTGTCGTTTGATACAATAATAATTCGACGACGTGGTAAAAAATGATGATTTTATCCCTATTTATCTTACTTGGTTTATTGCCTATTTCCTTCCTCTTCCTCGGATTGTTAATTGTCATTATTACTAACCTATACACGTCATACACCTGGTTGCTGTGGTATTATTTACATTGTCAGCCAAACTCATATATTCTATATTATTACTGTATTGCTAAACAAACTGGCCTTGCTTGATAGGTCCATTTGTAATGGTCGTTACTGTTGCTGTAAAAAAAAATGAGGCCACTCATTGTTCACAGTTCCTTGAGAAGGACTTCGCACTGGGTGAATGCATAGGAGATGAAGAATTTTTCTGAGATGGCCGACGATAGAGGTGATTGGGATGTCGCCATTCCAGTTCTTTCGCCGTGATCCGGCCTATAGAGTCATAGTGACCTGCCCTTTGGTAGATAAGGCTGTTACCTTCACCAGGTTAGCGTTTCGTTGCTAACTCTTAAACTTCGTCATCGAGCTATTACTTTAACGGATGATTTTGGTTTTTTCCTAACTCATTCATGACGATTAATTATGTGGCGCCCGCTTTCCATGGAGGTAGTCGATCCACCGTTGAGCCGTGCTCTCGAGCACATTGGATTGGGCTATCGTGTTCAGATAAAGCAGCTGACTAATGTGCGTGGTATGATAGTCCCAACGTGCAAGATTGGGCGCTAGTGACGGAATCGAAAAATGTCGAAGATCGTAAACCGACCCCGTGCCAGTATCAAATAGAGGCAGCATATGCTTCAGACTAGTAAAACCATCGAGAAAGAGGGCCCGAGCGACACTGTCGTTACTCACTTTATAGACATCGTAGATGCCAAATAGTGAATATACAAAACCGTTTAGTACGAACGAACTCTTAAGCGTTGGATACTCTTCGTACCAGCTGAAGCGGTCGGCGAACTTCGTTAAAACGCCGCCGTCTTTTGAGCTTTTCTTGAACAGCTCAAGGGCTCGAAGTGCCGCCTGAAGATAGACTTGCTGTCGGGTGACGAGGTAAGCACGAACGAGCAAGGACATGGCTTGACCTTGAGCCATGGCTGAATACCAGGGAGGAGTCAGCACAAGAACATCTGGTGCCACTAGGGTCCGACCAACGGATATGGGCCAACCTCCATTGGCGTCCTGTTGTCTGACGAGGTAGTTGCACGCTGCGAAGAAATATTCATCGTGAGCCTGAGTTAGCAATGACGCGCTGCCCAGACGGCCTTGGCCGTGGAACACTATGTTGAGAATCTGTACGCTCTTACCCACGAGAGCTGCAGCCGTTTTTGATGCCCGCCTTCCAGTGCTACCCGTTTGCAGAATCATACCCTTACGGAGGTCGATGGAGACGTCTCGTGTAAGTGTTCGCCACGCGTTGCGAGCTGCGCCTACGCCCACAAATACGTCCTGTCCTCGGCTGGATATCAAGACGTCGCTGAGAATATAGTGAACGCTGTATGTTGTCCCGGATGCCTGTACGTGCACCGTGACGCTGCCGTTTTGTCCGAGAAATAGGTCGAGCTGGACGATGACGAGATCGGGACTCGCTTTAAAATGCACTTCAACGGCATCCCCACTGAATGCAAGAACTGGTCGACCAGTGTCCTCGTCCGTCGCTGGGGTTATCACCCCTGAAATCGATGAACCAGGTAACGAGGCAGGACGCCATTCGACGTTTTCATCGAAACGGCCACGCGTCACAAGTGGCAGACGTCGCGTAGGACTAGACCCGCCGGTGAGGTTTTTGCTAAAATGACTCAATCCGAACTGCGCTATCTGCGTTGGGTACAGGTGACCCGATGAGTTCCATTGAGTGCTTACAGGTACGCCTGCGAGGAGGGCAATGATGAGACAATGGTGAGCGATTGGAAAAAGAAACTCACTAATTTATCTTGTGATAATCATTATGTTACTACGTCAATAGTGAAATAAAATACCTGAAACAGAAAATGGAATGTCTATCTTTTGAGGACTACGTGGCTAACTAAGTATCTTTGTTAGTAACAAAAACAGAATCCTCGCGAAGGTAAAAAATCGTATTATTATTATTATTCTTATAATCACATACGTCAAAGTCGAGTAAACACGTTTGTAGTCCTAAACTTGAAGATGAAATTGATAGATTTTCATATTTTGTTGTCTAACTTGTGGTATAAATGATGAACCTCAGACCAACATCGTGTGTTCAATCCAAAAAAGTCGGGAAGTTGACCGATCAAATAATGTTATTTCAAATCTATATATACACTTGTTCATGGTGTTCGTTTGTATCATCAGCTACTTAAATATCTAAGCTTTGCCCCTGTTAATCTTGTACTACTAGTTAAGTCTCACTTGCCCCTTATCTACAGGACAAACGAACAAAATAGGATTACGCGAGGCAGGGGTTTTCAACATTCCAATCCGATATTTTCAAAGGTACAACTTATCGAAATCCTGTCACCTAACGGGTACTGTATTCTAGAGCCTTTAACTTGTGCTTTCTACAGCCCCTGTGCGCAAGCAAATGCCTACGTGGTACGAAGGTCATCAGGAGTTTGAGATGACCTGACAGCAGTATGGCTCTATGCGTTCGTTATATTCATTCCCACAAGTATAAGGTAAGACGGTTGTTTATGATCACTACGCGTCTTTACTAATCTGAGAATATTGGCAAGTCTCAGTTCCTTTTTAACATGTGCTGTCTGCTGTCAATCTAGTCTTAACTGCACTGTCTTATTAAGTCGTTCACTTTATGTTAGAATTAAACTGAATCGAAAACATCGACGCTGAACAAAGTAATTTAGTAAATAAATTATTTATGAATAACTAATAAATGTTTAGAAAGGCGGCCTTGCTTGAGGAATCGATCCCTTCAAGCAGACGGATTAGACTGATTTTTTGTGATTTACTTAACATGCCTCATGGAAAGAAAGATCTGTGAGGAAAACGTCTGATTAACCAAACACTTTCTCCCTGGAGGAAACGGGTTGCTTTTCTCGTAAAGCGTAGTGCTCATTTGGTTCATCTTAAACATTGTCCCCGTTGCAAAAACAACGCTCCACCATTGTTTACAAACAGCAAGACAGCCGCCAGCGTCATCCGCGCTGAAACGTCCGTTTCCTACGTTATGTTGCATGAACAACTTTTGTCAATGTGTGGTGCATGAACATGTGTAGTGAACCTGTGCTGCACGACGAGCTATGTTTATACTATATTGTAGAAGAAGCTACTGGGTTACGTATATTAGAAACCGTAGCTATAGTAGAGTCGCCATTATTCATTTTATATTATCTCTAGCATAAGTTCTTCTCAGCCTTTTAACTAAACACAGGCGAAACAAAATAATGCTCAATGAGAAACCAGGCGTCCGGGCGAGGCCCGCTGGTGGGGCTATAGTGCTAAACTAACGTCAAAGCATAAACGTGACATGATATGGGTTAATTATCTACTACGATGTCTCACTTTTTGGCTATAATTATATAATATATATATAATTATATAATAATTAATTACTATATGAGAAATTTAAAACTATCCTAGGCTGAAAAAGCATCGCAAAGGCCGAAGGGACCAGATGCACAATTTTCCTTTTAATATTAATATGCAGCTTATCGAAACTCCATTGTTGATCGCTGAAGGATAAGTTTTGAGTTGTTATGGCGCATAAAATTAACCATCAGAGTCGTCTTTCCTCGAATTAGTACATGTCGACCGTAAATAAAGGTATGTCACACGTGTTTCCATTACAACTTTGCAAATGACTAACATTGTATATCTCAATATTGATAGAATGCCTGTTGTTATACCATCCAGCGATATAGCACCTTCAATTCCTGATATGACCTTCACACGATCGCGCACTGCGACGTTATAGTTCCCAAACCACAGATAGGGACCGTTGGCACGGTACTTCTGGCTCGGAACCGAGTACTTCGAATATGAATGTTGCCAATGGAAGACTGGCGTCCCAGAGGGCTCCTGTGATAGTTTACCGTACACCTGTGAAGGGAAAAACAGAAATGATGTTATTCCACGGCTTTGTTGCATATAGCGTAACCGATCCGAATCAGGGAACATTTGACTAGGCTATCGCGTTTAGTTACTATAACCTATAAAATATACGCAAATAACTGATCCTGTGCTCATTTTCCTAGCCTCATGTAAAGCTCGCTAAGGACTCGTATACCCACGTGAGCTAAGTGTGCTTAAACACTAGTTGTTATCGGCCCATTGCTGTCCGGCGTATTTCGTGAAAGCTAAGAAACTTTGTTAAAAAAGACATTATTGCTTCACAACTGGGCCACAGGTTCCTTCCGCCGTCGCCCTAGCTACTCCTCACTTCACAGAGGATTCGACACCTCCACATCCACCTATGTATCGCCAGACTAAACAATGGCTGGCATCTAAGAGCCTCTTGTAGAAGACATGAAAGTTGCTTCGGTAAGCAGTAAAGAAATGAGCGCCAGGACATCTTTGCAATGTCAATTCTGCATCGTCTGTCGGCGTGGAAGCCTATTGGGATGCAGTTACAACCTGGAAAGCCACTTGGGCTGCAACAGCGACAAAAATGCTTCCCGTTTTCGTGTGCATCCTGCACGCGTTTGCATAGATCGTTGTGCGTCAGGTTGTGAGATTTTGCTGCGTAAGGCGGTGAAGGTATGAGATGAGCTGTGGTGGCTACGACGATGCAATAATGGACAGGAATAAGGGAATTGCATATGAAAGTTGAAGAAATTCAGCTATGAATTTTGTGTGCAGCTTCGGCTTGTAACGGCGGTTTGTGAAGAAAATCTGTACAGCAAATAGGAAATAATTATAGTACGGTCTTGCGAAAAGTTCGTAGGAACTGTAGCATACTTGCGGAATGATACAAATTTGCCAAAATAACAGTTTGAAGTATATCAAACAACAGAAACAGTAAATATATTTGGATTTTTTTTCTACTCTAAGAAATACAATTTTTGTTGTATGGATCAATAAAAATGGTTTATCCATTTTACCTGATTTAAAAAATTAGGCTATTAATTTTGAATGCTTCTCTTTACTTTTGTAACATCGAATTGTTAAATGTTGGGCCTGTTGTTGGCTTAAGCACATTACCGAAGTGACCTATCAAATATCCAAGTTGTATATATCACTGTTTAGTACAATGATAAACAAGCGGTCACTAGCGTTGTTATTTCGTTGACATAAATATTGAATGTGCTTTGAGGGAACTTAGCCCGATCCGGTTTTGGGATTGGGCTTGTACAGTGCGTTCGTAAATGGAGTTACGTAAGACAACGGTAGTAAAATATGATTAATCTAAAAGGTAACTTCTTACGCTATCAAATCATTTAGTATAAAACGCGTAGTAGTCCTAACTTTGCCGTTTTTATCATAGCCTTCTTTATTTTTAATCCAAGCGTGCACCATTATTATCGGTTATCTTCAACTTTAGCATGCTTAATGCCTAATTTTTCATCATCTGCTCCAATTGTTGACAGCTCTATTCAGCTGTAATTGACGATCGATGATCCACGACTCAGGAAGCTATAACGTATAATGCCTAGATTAGGCCCACGATAGAGGCTGAAGCTCTTGCAGCTGTACACTCGTTTCGGGATAATGACCTGCTGCTTCAGTTGAATCCACTTATTTATGTAACCATCTGCGATTATCACGAACAATCAATTTCTCAACAATTCGGTGCAGGAATGAGTCACTGTTATAACGTAAAAAAAGCGAGAAGGGGCAAGCATCGTTACGTTTGTTTTATGACCCTCGCTCCATCGGTACAATTTTTTTACTTGCATTGAGGTAAACATGCACGGTATTTTTGTGCGTAGCAAACTTGAGTGCTAAAACATGACGTCCGCTTCAACACAGACTTTCACTCCTCATTGTTTACCTTCAAAAAAAGTCTTCCAGGAGAATCATTTTCGAGTTCGAAGTCTCTATTTGTGACTTCTCGAGGGCCAACTGCAGCTAGTGCTATTGGCGGTAGCACCTTCACCGTATACTGGGGTATATGGCGAGCTGTCTCTATCCCTGCAATTCAAAGATGGAACTCATTTGTGAAGCACTACCGAATTTCCTGATTCTTTATGATTCATCATAACTCATTTTCTAAGGCCCAACTGACGATGGTATCCTGGTGAACGGCCTCGGACTTCAAATACATCTCGAATACAAAAAAGGTGTTGCCAAATGTTGCGCCGGCATCGAATAGCGTAACCTTCTAGAAGTAGATCAGTGTTTGCTACATTTCATGCTGAAGTACCTCATTATATCTATATTATGGTGGATACTGTGCTATCAGGTCGATGTTTAGTAACTTATTTATGGGCTTTCATGAATATACATCTCACGGGAAACAAACGAAATCTTCAATTTTTAGATACTATAACACAGACAGAAAGGTCAGTAGTAGTGGATGGCTGCTTAGCCAGCGTACCGCGTCACTCTACGTTAAACAGATGACCTACCTATCTGGTCCTATTTTCAGAAGGTCAAACCAATTCATAGCGGAGCGATACTGTTTGGTGTTGTTAGTATCTCTTATTTAACATTAGAAGGCGCTATAAGTTTCTGAAGAACTGATCGAAAGAACTTACGAAGTACGTTGGTTTTTTCGAGGACAAAACTAAGATGATGATGTAATATATATATACACAGTGTCCCAACAGCAAAACATAAGTTAACATGTGTGGCGGGACGCATAAAACCAATTGCAGATAGGCACTGAATACCCAACGACCGTATAGCGTGAGGCGCTTCAATAGAACATAGGCGAATTAGCTAGGGCGCTCACTCGCCTCCGACTGGCGCGGTAAAGTCGAATAAGTTTAAGATAAAATCTACAATCTACAGATGTTTTTGTCACTATGATCTATGAGCATATTTTATCCGCTCTAATGTGAGTTGAATACAGAGAATCTCGATGGGAGATTTGGCTTTGAAGCCAATTCTGCTTAATCGAAATGGTCCAATTTCCACACAATCCATGACATTAGCATCGTTTTGAACTTAAATGATTCCTTAGCACACTCCGTCTGTAAGGGGTAGTTTAAGCATCTGGGTCATTCACCGATAAACTCGCTACTGATATTAACGTTCGGTAAAGGGAACGTCTGTTAATACTTCTCAAAGGGCCTCTTTCACACTAAACGTTCCTACCCCTTACTATGAACCCCACATTTCTATATGCGACTCATCATTGGCTATTCTCGTTGACACAGCTGCAGCGTTAGCGCAAGCATCAGTATTCAACCAAAGATGACCTGAATCGACTACCGGAATAGCGATGTACCACCAAGATCGTACGGTCCTTTCACAAGGTACGCCGTCCTGTATTGGTGGATATGAACAGTATTACATCGATAACGTGTAACTGTGCGCCCTACGCTTATTGAAGAACCCTCACCTTAAATCTGCGACTGGTGTTCTCGAGTACGGCTTTCGGTGCCGTCCAACACGCTATTTATATTTGTCAATGGCGACAGCCAGGATATTTTTTCTTTTTCACTGGAAGGAGATTATGCATCGACCTTTGCCTCCCTTTCATTCTCTGCAAGACCCTACGCGACCTTCCTAAGCTTTAGTCAATGTGTTGACTAGTTGTAAAAAATTATCTTTAGAAAGATATTCAGATGCTTAGAAGGTATAACGTTTTCTAACGTAGCTCACGAGGTACAGTCATCGAAATACGACTATACATATATATATACACGCACACACACGCACACAAAAACATTGACTACAGCAAGATCTTATAAGATTCTTCAATCTCCTCTTTAGCCAATATATCATACATATACATATATATGATATGGAGGGTCCTCTTTGTCTTTGTCCGTGGCCCTTCGTCCTCATTCTCTATGTGGGTTCCTGCTCCCTATCTATTTCAATCCTATATCCGCTGAACTTTGATATTCTGCCGTCACCATGACAGTGGTGTGCAGTAGCTGTACAGATGCCAATAAACGACAGCGACAGGATTACTGTGCAATATTAGTGGTGAATTATCGTAACAAACACTAACACACATGTGCAGTACTGCTGTTGTGCACTGCGAGCTCACATCTCTATCATAGTTCTTATATGGGTTATTATAGCACTATTAGCGGAAGGCGGGTCTCGGATCTGCCATAATGGTTAACCTTTGGGTTTCCATTCGGTCCAACGTCGATACAGGAACATTACTCGCTTTGCTATGAAACAATGAAATTTAGAGGTTTTTATATTTCTCTCCACTCGAACGTTTTCGGACGCCTCTTCACCAGCTCCTGTCGATCCTACGATCCTTGCGATCGCTACTACTGTGACTGCGCCTTACCGAGCCACCGTGATACACCACACTTCTATGACCCTGCATCTAAAAGTGCTAAGCTACCCAGCCAGCAACTGGGTAGCTTTCCGGTTTTCGGGTCTCCAAAAGTATGCATCACATTGTTGTCGCTCGGTCAAGCTGTCGGGACTACCAATTCTTCGAACAGCGGCTATGCCTCTGCCTGCGAGCATGTATAATATTCCCTTTCCTTCTTCCTCCTTCATGTTAAACCCTTTTCAATTTCAATGCACTAAGCAATACTATTGGGTCTCTGGCATGCTTGCTTGGTTACGCGACTCCTGCATGTTTGGCCTTCAGGCCAGGGAACAAACTGGTTTGTACATACACGGGTTCTATGAAGTCCCATTTAGCCTCAACAGCGGCTCGCGGGCGAAAGACAAGCGGTAACAGCAGTAGCCTCCTATAGATACAGGAACATGGGCTAGATGAAGGCAGAGAAAGGGTGGTCGGTGACAAGCGCGATCAATAGAGGAACAAAAGAAGGTGCCACTAGCTAAGAGTCAGTTGTAAGCGTTAGTGGCACCGCGACGAAAACGGCCAGGCCTAACTGAAATCCCGAATACACGGGGTTGGATGGCAAACGAAATCGAGGGAGTGCAGGGCGCCGTTGTCGGCTTGCTCTGACTGGGAACGGCCAGCTAAGTGCGAAAGCAAAACGTACAGGGAC